TGGGGGCAGGGGCAAGGGGTTCCTCAAACCCAGTCACACCTACTAAACGGAGTCAGTTTGGTGGTGGGGAAGCCAGCCCCCCACAACTAATCATGGGTTCAGTTAGCATAATTGTATGGTTAAAATATATGAAGATAAAGTCATAGAGAATAAGAGAGGTAGGAGAGAGAGTAAAACGAAGGAGTCAGACACATTTCATGGTAGCATGCTCACCTCCTGGACAGTCATGATCTCACCAGCCAGGTCCACGCACAGCACGGGCAGAGAGGGCAGGAGGGTCTCTTTATTTCTGGCCAAGGCCCATGTATTCTTAGGGGTATGATCACAGGTAACCACATACGTCACAGAGAAGGGGATGTACAATAGCCATAAGCTATTGTGACAGGAAGGGATGAGCTAGGGGTGTACATGCAATAGGAAGGGGAGGGACGATGAGTAGACATGTGATAAGATGGGCGGACCCTAGACTCAATATGGCAGCCTAACCTTGGTCATCCTTGAGTGGGCTTGACCTCCTTGGGCTCTCCTTCCCGGAAACAATCTATGATCCTTATCAGAAGGGAGTGGGTCCCACTTAGGGTGGGACAGACAATACAGTCTGATTGCTCTAGATGGCTGATAAGGGAGACTAGCCTCTGACCGGCTGTCATTGACCTCCCCGTGTACAGGCGTTTACCGTGTGTAGCAAGCAGCTAGGTTTGGCGTATATTTGGGGCAGACAACTTGGGAGAAATCTTTCTGTATCCCACAGGTGTGTAGGGGTGTGTGTGTGTGTGTGTGTGTGTGTGTGTGTGTGTGTGTGTGAAAAGGCTAGAAGCTCCCTGTTCTGCTGCCTCCTGCAGGGCCTCAGTCATAGGACCTTGTTCTTCACGAGCTGGGACTGGTGGCCCCTGCTTCCACTCACGGTGACTTGGCACCAGGACTCACTGTCCTCCTGTGCGTTCCTTGTGGCTGACATACCTTTTCTTTAAATGTCAAAAGATCCCAATGGGACATGTTGGGGGTGAGAGGTTGGAGATGGAGGCACGGAACAGAGATAGAATTTAGGCAGGAAGGTGGAGTTGAGAAAGATTTTATTGAGACAGGGAAAGAACTCCCTGAAGGGAAGGGAGAGCAGAGAAAGGGATGCGGGCATCTGGAGCCCCCGGGCAGGTTCCAAGACCCAACGAGTTAGGTCAGGGAAATTGTGCCCGGCAGTGAGGCAGTGGGACACATAGGGCTTGAGCCAAGGACGTATGTACTGATGAGGGGAGGAGGGCCTTCTGGGGCTGCAGGTGCAGGTCTGAGGACGTGGTCTGTGAGTAAGTCCTCCTGGAACGCTGAGGGAAGGGGCTGTACAGACCCGGCCGGGAGAGATAAGCTCCTTGGAATGCTGGGGGCAGGGACTGCACAGTCCAGCTCTAGCCTGGAGGGTGGGGGGGGACACCACAGTCCAGTAGGCTATCTTTTGGGAGCGCTGAGGGAGGCGGCTGCATGGTCTGGCCCCGGCCCAAACGGGGTAAAATGATTACTGCTAACTTTGTTCATTGCTGGACAATTGGCAAATCATTTTTTTGATTCTCACTGTCATTATCTCTGGCTTTATTGATGAATGCACTAGGGCCAAGAGGGTAGTTACCTTGCCTCGGCTCCCACTAACAAATAGCTGAGTCAGGACTGGGACCCAGAGTCTCTAACCAAAACCCTGTGTTTTCTTTACAATGCTAATTACCCACCACCATCACGCCAATCCCAACCAACCTATAGTCACCCTACGGGATGGGGTAGAAATAATGCTCTCTAGGGTTTCCGAGACTGTCAGTCTGTGTGGGAGCAGACAACCTGATCTTCCTTTGAACTATCAGCTTCATGGTCAGCAGCCCACCACTTAACCAGCTGCACCACCAGGGATCCTTCTCCCATGACAGGCTCTTGTTTCAGAAAGCCTGGTCCTGACCACCAGAGTGGACATGTCTCTGACCCAATCATGTCGGTCACTTGATTCCGGGATTGGTGGCGGGCGAGCATTCAGCTTGCACTCACCTTAGGTACCTTGACAAAGCGGGGAGGAGAGGCGCAGTCCTGGGAAGGGCGAGTGGGAGGACAAAGCTCTAAGGTTTCCAGAATGTGCATGGTCTGCTGGCTCCCAGTCAGGGCCTCTGCTTGCTTTTCTCCCACTTAGTGTCAGCCTGCCCACTGCTGCGCTAACTTCGGCCACCCACCCATTGCCACTACCTGCAACTTACCAGCTTCCCTCGTCTTGTTCCCGCCAGATCTAAATTGTCACTCACTCTCTGCCCTCCAACTCTCTCTCTCTCTCTCTCTCTCTCTTGCTCTGGCTCTCTCACTCAGTAAACCTGGTAGGCCCTGCAGGCCATGCAGCTCTGTCATAGCTGCTTGTCTCTTCTCGTGTAGCATGACAAGAGACAATATGTAAACAAGTAGGCATGACTGTGTTCCAATAAAACTTTATTTACAAGAACGGGCAGGCCAGGTTGGCCTCTGGCCACAGTTTACTTTCTCTTGCTATAAATCTTTACAAATGAGGCCGGCTCCACTTTCTTCCTTTCCATTCCAATTAGACCTGGTCTCCGAAAGCTACTGTTTCCTACCAAGCAAGTGGTTCCAGGCCTGCGAAGCAGCCCAGCCCTGCTCAGCTTGGCCTGCCCACATTCTTCTGGGAAGAGAAAGTAGCATGTGGGCTTGGTTACCTACCGTGCAGTTCTTGATCAGCAGTTTACCTGTGCACCGTGAAGAACGGCCGTTCTAGGCCAATCGTGACAGCCTAGGTCCTTTTTGTTGGTGGTTAGGTTAAGGCTAGTTCTGGGCATCCTGAGAGATGTTTTTCACTCTTCGCCCTGCCCCTCTGTCCCAGCCTTTCTGCTTTGGTTGCAACTGTGCAAGGACCTGCTTAGAGTGGCAGCAGCCACCTGGCACGAAAGGGACAGGACCACAGAGCCGGCTCTGGGGACACTGTCTCTGAACTTCTTGTTCAAGCAAATGAGGAAGCTCCTGCTTTCTGAATTCAAAAAAAAGAGTGTTACAACAGTGTT